CGCGAGGCCCAGTTTTTTGGAGCGAACTGTGGTGAAAACATGGATCGCCATACTATTTTAATGCTTAACTTCAACTCTTCAAGGGCAAAAATACGTGATTGGATTTTCGAATTTTCTCATGAAAAATACCCAGAAAGGTCGCATATAGATTTTATTTCTTAAATCCGGTGCTAGGTTTTTAGGATTGTTTTTAATGTCGCCGCATTTCTTCAAAAAGCCTTGAAATCTGGCCTTTTTTCGTCAAATTTGGCACTTCATACGGACTGTCAGGTCAAGCTTGAGTGATCACGGACTATTTGTCCCCCATAAGTTCCATATGGAACTCTGAAAGTTCCTACTAAGTTTACTAGTACTTACGAGATATAACACGATCGAAATATTACTCAAAGTTACAATACTGACAAAACTGCAGAGGCTGTACCGTTTCTATTGTTTATATGACCTTTCAGGTTAAATTTATTAAAATCTCACGAAATTTGCATATGTTGAATAACATAGACGCTCTTAGAGCGTAAAGTCGTGCTAGCTATTTTGGAAAACTGGAAAAGACAGGATATTTCAAGAAGCTACTCAGAGTTCAGTTCGGAAAAAAATGTGAGGTAGTAAAAACCATATATTTACTTAATTCTGTCTTGATTTATTTCAAACAAAGACTATATATAGTGAAAATGAAATACTTATAGCTCAATGGCGGCAGCTGACACATTGTCGCAGCTAGAGGAAGCCCACGTAAGCGATCCATGGTCGTCTAGTTTAATTTTAAGATAGATAAACTTTCATAAGATACAGACGACTCCGCCATCTTACTCTACAATGCGCAGGTTTCTGCAAGCATGTGTAGTTTAAAGCACAGAAAGCCCAGCTTGAGAAAGCTCAACCAAAATCTCGATCTAAATCTTTAAAACTTTAAAGTCACCAAAAAATTAAACTCGGCAAAAAAAATCTCGACAAAAAAGCTAAGACCGACATATGGTTCCAGCGCTTACGCACGTTCCCTTCTCAATGCGAACTTCCGTACTTCCTTGTGTCCATGTACCACCAAAGGAAACCATACTCCGAGCAAAAATAAACTAGCAAAAACATTTTGTTGAAACTGTCATAATTTGGCCTTCGATTATTTATCTTCGAAATTGGTAATATTAGAAAACCAATCACAAATCAAAGCACAGAGATTCCTGCCAATTTTGCCATAGCTTCAACGGCGCGTTCGCACATCCGGGAAATCGATTTACGAAAGATGAAAAGCAATTTACTTTCAAGTGTTTTGAGAGTCACTTTTTAGGAATAAGAAAAAAGGAAAACAGGGTGACTTTTATATTTTGACCACAAGAAAAAGACGATGCGGTAGGACTTTTCGCTTTGATCAGTTTCGACTAAAAGAAAAAGATGATGGTGTATTGGAAATGCTGCAAAAATATGGGGAAACTCAGCACTGATCTGTGTGAACTCTTTTTTCATCAAATCTTTCAAGTTAGATTGGCTTGCTTTGCTCATTCCATTAGTGTTAATAATGGCGTGCTTTTTCTGTAAACTTTGATAGCCTGAGACTTGTGAGTGTGAGGTGGGGGAGGGTCATCAGTGTTTTTGGTACTTTTGAGGGGAGGGTCACTGTTTAGTTAGAAATACCTGTGAGACACACATTTTTTTGAAAAAATTACACTGAAAACTCCAACCCTTCCCCCAGTAATAAACGTAACTTCCCTAATCACGTGTTATGACGTGAGATTTCATTAAAAATGGTCTCAGACCATCACTCGATATCAGGCCCTAAAGGAGTTACGGACCCTTAACATAAATGAACGCTAAACTACATAAACAACAAAATGAAAATAATCTTTTACTTGATTAGGAGAGAGAGAAATACTACGAACTTTCATTTTAAAAAAACATCTAGATCTATCTTTGATATAAATAATGCTATTGAAGAGCGTCGGTACTGTGTGGTAGAAGGCTTGATAGCAGCAGGCATCTCAATTCATCTTCATTCACTAATGAAGCGCTGCAGTGCGACATTCTCTGAAACTGAAGTCAAACCGAAACTAGACCACATATATTTAAGTGTGATACGAACTTATTCCACTAGATTCTTATTTGTTGATCACCGACGATATCTAATTGGTCAAAGCTTGCAATCACAACGAAATATCGTTCGAAAACGATCTCCGTTTCTTATTCGTATGCATGCGAATACCAAACATGACGTGGTCATGTCGCGGAAACATTCATTTTCATTTCTTTGCACTGTTCCTAGTATATGAAATCATCATTATATTCTCACTGTTATCATCAACATAACTTTTTTTCCAATTTGTCCAAACCTTGGTTATTACTGAGATGCATAAAGATTATGGCTTATTATGCTAATCTTGTTCAGTTTTTCCGCATTCTGCATACAAGCTTTCAAGTTTTAACTCGATGGTTATTTGACTAACTCGAGAATAAACATCATTTGTGATAAGAATTTCTTTGTACACAGGCATATTATTCCTTTTGAGTCCTCTGTGTAAAATGGATTTATTTTTAACCGAGCTTTCGGCCTAAGCAGCCATTTTCAAGGTTGTAGTACACGTGATTGGTGATTGGTGGATTGCAATTGAAATATATGCTTACAAAAGTGATTTAAAAGTTACCTCTCGTTTTAAATTTCTGTTTCAAATATATGAATAACAGTTGAAGTGACGGTTTTGCACGCGATTTTTCCGCTCAGGCAAAGTCTTATAACGTTTCAATCCAATTCTGAATAAATCATTAATTGTAAAGGTTAGATACTGCATAAAGGAGTTAACCGGCCACTTTTTAGGGACTTAGTTCATCTAGGGAGCGTGTAAACTCAGTTTTAATGTTTACTTCTCCATATTTTTCTTTGTATTTTTCAAGCACGTCAAGCCCCGATGACCCCTGAAGTTACTGAGAAATGTACTCCTTTTTGTAATACCGTATGTAACGTTTGCAATTAATGCTTCTCTCAGAATTGGAATACAATAGGAATTATTTGGCATCGATTTCTCGCTGTTTTCTTGTTATTTTGCGAGGTTTTGCCTATCCGCCAACATGACAGGCAAAAGCGTCACATCTTTATTGCGGAAAAGTGAGGCCTTATGCACCACTAGCTTCGACGTAGACCAGAAACCATTGAGAAATGACAGTTTGAAAGCCAAAACAGTAAGTGCAACGTCAACCAAGGAATGATTGACAGAATAAATTAGGGTGTGGTACGATAGTATACATAGTAATAACCCAGACTAGATGATCAGTCGTTGAGGCCCCGATACTGAGCTGTGCTTAATTGTTGACGAGAGTATCAAGCTATCAGCCCATCCCTAAAATGAAACCTGTGGTCATGATTGCTGCTGCGTGCCTTCTTTTGGCCTTGTTACAACCAGGTGACCAATCCTTGATGGAAATTTATTTATTATAAAGTTCAGAACTATAAATCCGGTAAAAACTTGATATGCTCACAGTAAGCATCATTCCTTCAGCGATGGGCTTTTGAAAGCTAAAACGTAAAAAGGCAATAATATAACGATTTTATAAAGCATTTTTCATTAATTTGTTGATAATTGATATTTTCCTGTAGCAAATAACTTTTTGGAATACTCTAAAGTCGAATAAGCATCGATTTAAACTGAAAGCCTTTACGAGGAATGCGGAAAAGCCAACTAGATAACATAGTAAAAACGACAAATACGACGAATATCACTTAAATACTGTCTGTTTCTGAAGATGGTTCTTTATCGCTCAAACCGACGAGTCCTGTGAGTTTATCGAGGAAATTTTCCTTGAGCTACAAAACTCCTTAAAAATCATGACTATGTCTTCGATGAAAAGGTTTTATCTTTTGAAGCATCTTTACTTTGGCCATTTGCACCGAATTGATTAAGATCGTCGAAGGTGATATGCAACTCCTAAAGGCCCGTTTACACTTGCAATTTTTGCAGCGCGATTCGTACGTGTAAACAGCCCCGCGATTGTCGCGGCGATCAAAAATCACCGCGAGTTTCAGCTAAATTTCAAGCATGTTCGAAACTAAGGCGATTGTCGCGTAAAGTGTAAACGGGCCTTATGGCGATTCGCAAAGTACTCATAAATTCAAATAATGATTTACCTAGTTACATTATAGCATAACTCCATGAAAAAGAAGGTCATTTTATGCAGTGAAGGAAATCTTTTGATTCTAAAACACTGTTATAATCATGATATTTGCTTTTTCATGTTCACTTACGGTCTTAGTTTTCATGATGTAACTTTTTGGAACTCGATTCCGTTTTTGTGGAATAAGATCAGTGATGTAAAAGGACTATTATACTTTCGAAACTAGACAGATCATTTGATTTGATTTAAACGTTCTGAAGTGATACTGTTCCTCACCATCCCTGGGGTTGCCGGGGTTTGCTGACAATCTTATAGGTGGTCAGAGTGTACTGAGTGATTTGCGGAAACCGTTACTTTTCAAAACTTCTACAAATACATGAAGTCTAGTCCTTTGTTTCAGCACACTTCCGGCGAATGCAATATCGTGAAGCAGTGCATAACCGAAAGTGGCTGTTAGAAGAGACTAATGACTAAGAGGCAAAGTATTTTTTCGCAGAAATGTTAAATTTAGTCCGTTGTTCCAACACAATTCCGGCGAATGCGTGAAGTAATGCTTGACTAAGTGGCAAAGTGATTTTTCGCATAAATGATTTGAAAGATTAATTCTAGTGCCTTCTACGACGGAAACTGTATACAATAAATATGCTCCCGCACAGGACGTTTTGTCGTTCGACTGGATGGCCGTGCATAACCGTACAGGTAGTTTTGTCTAATCAGAAGAGAGAGAAAGCACCAGCTTAAATATTTAGATCTATATTCAATATAAATATTGCTGTCGTCGAGTTTATTTCCGCTGAACCTGTTCTGTTCAATTATCTATTGATGTCATTTACTTTTCTAACAAATCATTTTTTTCTATTTAGTTGTTTCGATTAAGTGCTATACGTGTGTTAGCACAAGTGAGAGTAACTGCAAAGGTGAAGAGACGTCGTGTCCTAAGGCATATGATCGTTGTTTCAAGACGGTCGCTAAAGATAATAAAGGAGTTGGAAAAGGTTGCACTGATGAAAAGACCTGTGAAAAGCTTAAAAAGGCTTGTGATACCACTGGCTGCGGGTACTTTGGATGTTGTAAAGGTGAACTCTGTAACGCCGGCTCTGGTCTCAAGTCCATGTCAGTCCTGATTGCCTTGGCTATGATGATTGCTTTTGCAGGTCATTTTTGATGTAACCACGTCAAACAATGATTAAAGCAGCACGTTTCGTATAATAACACATAAAAAGTTTTCTATTATAACTTAACAATTTTGATTAAAAGTTTGTAATAGTCTAGTCCTTCAAGAAGCTAGCCTCCTCAAAGTCTCGCTATGTTAATTAGACACAATAGATTATTATGTATTTTGTAATCTTTTACCTGTTTGTAATTTTTTCGAGCAAAGAGCACCAAATTTGATAAAAGACAACAAAATTAAAAGCAATCAAATTAAGTGAAATTCAGCATATTTTGCGTAAGATCAATAAATTTCTGCGAAGCCTTACAGCATTGCACACACTTGTCGTATTAAAGAATTTTGAAATAGGGTATTAGTGGTGTCGGGGATATTTACAATCATTACCGTCAGCCATGCTCCCTTTTTGTGCCGGCTAGTGTGGTGACAATCTTATCTATAAGTGATCAGAATGTACTGAGTGATTTTCGGGAAACTGTTGCTTTTCAAAACTTCTACAAATAAATGAAGTCTAGTCCCTTGTTTCAACACAATTCCGGCGAATACAATATCGTGAATCAATGCATGACTAAGTAGCAAAGGGATTTTTCGCAGAAAGATCTAGTGCCTTCCACGAAACTGTATAGCGTTTATATACCACTCTGAGTCCAATGTTTTCTTTTTACTTTTTACCAACAAATACTAACTACATATATCCTTTTTTTCGTTGAATGAAAACTATTCTAAAGCAAGGTTAGCTATAGTAAATTCTTTGTTAACCAAAAAGTCACACACACTGATTGCGGAAAACAAATAGCATGGAAATGATTGACAGAATATATTTGGTGTTGTACTAGATGATTAGTAAGAATTACCTTTTCGACTGTTCTCTCTGATAAAAAGACAGTTTATAAAAAGACAGTTTCTTTAGCTTGCGCACGTAACGTGACAATTTATTGTGTGACATTATTGCGTCAGAAAATGTTCAAAACAATTCAAATCCCAAAATATGATTGGCCCACACTACTCACAACTGTCAAAGTAAGCGTTTTTATTGGCTTATCAAAACAAAGAAATATGCAAATGTACTACAATTGATCAATGCCCGCCAAAACTTGTGTTCACTTATCTGACTTATCGAAGTCCCTTTTTAAAAAAAGTTTAATGTTTATTTTTGAAACACTCCATTTGACAAGCTTTTTTGGCTGCTTCTAAAGTCGAACTGCAGCGTAACAGAGGATAATGATTCTTCTACTCGATTTGAGGAAGTTCTTGACGCTTCAATGGATCCAGCTGGTACCAAGGCATTCGACAGGACATCAGAACATCTTTCCCTGTTGGATAGACGACGTTCAATTGTAATGTGCGACACTTTGCTCACTTCCATGGCCATATATGTTCATAATATGTCTTGTAGGAACTTCGACAACCGACCACAAGGTAATGCTGGTGGCTCTTACACAATGGTTTGTGTACGTTTTTGACAACTCAGCGCCGATGCTTATATATTCTTCATCATCTGGAACAGTGTGTTAACTCCCAACGAGTTGTTTTCATACCATGTCGTTTCTTGGGCTAGTACTCTTTGTTTTGGTTTCTGGAAGAAGGTGGTTTGGTTGGGAATAAGCTTTGACAAGTACTTTTTGAAGCACCAGAATGAATCGCCTTGTTCGTCTGTAGAGTAAAGCCTGGTGGACTTTTCGTTGTCGTTCATTAGTAGCAATTCCAGCCTGGTGGTTCTTGGATGACTCTCCGTATGTCATACTGAATGATGTACTCTCTCCCATTGCCATCTTTTTCCACGCAAAAACTAGTGTTTTTTACATGGGATTGCAAAACTGCGACGAGGGAAAAAAATAGAAATAAAGTCGCTGCATTTTATAACTCGGTAAAAAGTTATGACTTCTGAAGGCACAATTATACTGTGATCTTTAATTTCAGACGTTTCGCCTTTGACGGCTTCATCAGTGAATGCAACTACAAAGTAGCTTACGGAGAGTTATAAAGAACTTTTCTTTTTTAGCGACCATGTTGACACAAGTCCGATTCCTCCGTCTCCGGAAACTCATCACTAAAGATGAGCTTGGCGTTAGGTGCGTACGGTGGGGAGTAGGGTCCGAGTCTCGTGCAACTGGTTACTATGGAAACCCATTCACGTACCCACCTTGCGCCTGTCAAACTGCCCGCGACCAACCAGGAGAATATTTAACTACGCTTACCTTATTACCAGGTTGTAAAGGGATGGGAATCGAGTATTTGCGATTGCGATATGTATTTAAGTTGCAAGCAAGCTAGCAATGATGATTGTCATGTCTGTGGTCGAATAAGGCTGACAGACCACGTGCTTTTGCTGCTCCTGATTGGCTGGTCGTGATCAGTTATAAGTCGTTGAGATCCACTGCTAATTACGCAATTAATTAACCACATATAACGTATCTTCTCCTCCTCATTTGTATTTTTTTAACTTTTTGGGGGCTTAAATTAAATCGGAAGAGTTTTACTCCATTGAAGGAAGTCCTGTGAGTTCGGCCATGTTTTCGTTGTTTTCGTACATTAAGTATACCTACCTGGTATTTTACTTAATCGTACCATGAGTGAGCCTAATCTTTAATGTGTCACCACTTCAATGACTTATAAATCTAGAACTTTACAAACAAAAAGATGACCGACTACTGACATGCGTGATATACAATAGAGACGTGATGACCAGAAACAAATTTACTGAAAGTAAGACTATAACAAACTGCAATACTGTTTTACAATACAATGTTAAATTGCGTGTTTCTAAAAATTTCAAAACAATAAATTTGGTGCTATTAGATCAGTAGACAATATAGTTGTAATCTCGTATAGAGGATTATTTTCAACTTATTTTCCATTATGAACTCTCAGGGACAAGAGAAAATCCAAAAATGGTGTGATACAAATAAAAGGCGCTTATTTCAATAAATGCATCAAAAAACAATTTCATGATATTGAAATCAACTGGGAAAAAAGGACTTCTTTGTAGGCATGAAAACTAAAAGTTCAGACGGTTCATGACATTCGCTTCAAAGGAAACTAGACGATCACTGATCGTTTACATGGGCTTCTTCTAGTTTTTTTGATTCGGGGGACTAAGCAATTTTCTATTCACCTACTCGTATCATTCACTTGTAAWTGTGGTGTATTGTTTTTATCACCTGTTTGATTGTTTGCTATAGCTATAGGAGCGGTAGCAATTTTTATGCCTTTTAATTCATATGTTTCTGTAAGTCCATGTAAACTTTGAAAATACTGCACCAAATTATTTGTAGACAATACATGCAATAGCACACAAGTCCCTTGTGGATGACTGTTACCATATATGTCTCTAGCATGCGAGTCAAATATCTTATAATGACCAGTATCAGGACAATAAATAATGGCAACCCCTATACAACCAACAATTAAGATAAATGATCTGTACTGTTGTGATATCAATGACTCAATAGCTCTTTTWAGTCCCATACAATATTGATATCCATCTATACTAATATCACCATGTACATTACCAGTGTAGCTTACACTATAGTCTAGTCGATAATTTTCATCTAGTACTGTAAGCATTGTAGGCAATTCTGTTAACATTAAGAATGATTGTCGTGCTAATTGTGATAAATTGTTGTAGAGTTCATTTCCAATGTGCATTATTTGTTTTAAATCATTAGATGTTTGTATTCCTTTCATTTCATTATATATTAATGCACAGACTCATTGCAACACATTGTTGCCCAGCATTTTCCCCAAATATCATAATGTTCTCTTGACTGTATGGTGCCTGAACAGTTTGACTAGAGTCAACATTTTGTACACAAGGACCTGGGTTTTTTTCCACGTCATTACAAAGTTTATACTTGGTACAATTCCCTTTGTGACTTCCTCCCTTGAACTCATTGTCTAATAAATTCGACACATTACTGCACGAAAACAATGTTATCCACGTTTGATAATTCCTAATTTTTTTATCTAAAGGCATAATGTATCTATATCTTCTAGCAACCGGTCTAGGTTTCTGCCTTACTTTGTTAACAAAGGCAATATATTTTCTTCGAGTAAACTTATTTTTCCTTTTGAATTTACTTTTTATACTCGAAATAACACAATGAACTTCCGAAGACTTCGGTATGTTTTTGAGCACGCGACGTGATACATATCTCTGCAGATTCCTGTTCTTACGAGACAGACGACGTAATTTATTGACTGGAATTCTACTTGGTTCCCTGTCGCGCTTATTACAATGACATTCGCATACAACACGAGTGCAATGATTATAATAGACATATTTTGCATAGCGCSATCTGAAATTTTGTACTTTTATTGACACAACAACATCATTACAACTGTTGACATTAGAAAAATTAGTAGTTCTTTCTAGTATCACAGTACATGTAAGAACGGTGAATACAAGCATCCACGTGCAAAGAAGTGAAGCTATAAGAGTAAACGAAAAACCAGCAGCATTTTTAGACATGGTCTTCCACAGGAAGCCCATGTAAAAAATTGAAATATCTTCTTTGGCATAATGACGTCAGAATATTTTTATGTATTGTAGACCTATTAATATTCTTTCCGAAAGAAGAACTTTAGTGTATCGAGTTTTGATGTATATCATTTATCAATGATTTTATTTGATATGCAGTCACTCTGATCTCCTCTGGCGACCATAATCCTTAGCGTTAAACAATAGAAAGTTTGGGTGTGACGTAATTATGCGAAAGGGCAATAGTCGAGTTTCGCGATCTCTTTTACGCTGTGTTAGCCTCAATTGTGTGCTAAAATATTCAGAAATGTAGATAAAACTCGTGAGAAACTATTTTCATTTTCTTCTATACTCACAGATCTCTTGCATTTGCAGTGGCGGATACGGGGGGGGGGGTTCCATGGGTTCCTAGGAACCCCCCTCGAGCATAAAAAATAAAAAAATAAATGATAAATGAAATCAAATGAAAAGACATCCGAGAAGAATGAAGCTGGCTTATATCTTACAATAGGTAAGCGGTTTATATTACACTCTTACAATGCAATGTACGCACACAGAACTGTAAAGCTTTTTGAGACTTTGCAATGTAAGAGATGCGCTATCTACATTCACGTTACATTTCAACCTAAAGTTCGAGAGGCACAGTAAAAAAGTTCGTTTTAGGAAAATGCGAAAAGAAAGTGGAACCCCCTTTGAAAAATCCTGGATCCGCCACTGATTTGCACGGCCTGCTAGTGAATACAAGAATATATTACATATATGGTTTTGAGGCTAACACAGCGTAAAAGAGATCGCTAAAAGGGTTTATTGATGATTCCATAACCTGTAAAATAACATAT